TTTGCCACATTAATTTAACTTAAATGGTAACCTAAAATTAGCTCTTTTGAAGCATCAGTATCAGGTCTGATCCCCCCCCACACACACACACACGCACACGCACATATGCACGCACACCTTTCTATCGTTCAGCGTTGGGGAGCTTTACGCAGTGATTGGCCAGGCATGCAGAGGGGAGACAGGAAACGTTTGAAATTCCTCTCGAGCTTTTTGCCTCTGTCACCCTCTGTGTACAAACAAATGCAAAACAGTGACTGACTGTCAGGAACCCACTGGGGGAGTGTCAAAGGGTGTGAGCAGTCTGAATGCACCCCAGGCCCAGGCAGGCCCTCCAGGGGACCAGGGTGGGCCCACAATAACAGCATGTGAAGGTTCAAATAATGCAAAAAAACATCTATGTAAAACAGACAATAGGAAACTGCTGGGCTTACTTCAGGCACACTCACAGAACCAAGAATATATGGCTTATCAGAGTAAAGTATATAACAAAAATCCCAAAAATGGGGGAAAAAAAACGCTGACCGGTTTCAACCAGCACTGCATCTTCCTCAGGGCGCGGTTGGAAAGGGAAGTAAACCAATGTGGAGTAGTGTCGCTGTTCCAACATCATAACGACAGATGGACTTTGCAAATTTAAAGACAAGAGAGATCCATAAAAATAAACACTTCATGAATTCCAATTCCACATATGTTGTGTGCAGCCTCACCTGTCGTTGTGGCTGCTTTTACATCAGATGCTCTAAGAGGGGCTTGAAATATATAGTAGCAGAACACAAATATGCCATAAAAACTAATAATGTTGCTGTTACCACTTCCATATTTATCATAACAGCAACAGCAGGCTTTTGAAAGTGGAGGGTATTGAACTTTTGGAGCAGCTCATCAGAGGAGGTGATCATTTCAACAGATTACTTCAGAGAGAGACTTTGCATAGATTGAGACTGGAGATTGGATTTTTACACCTGATGCTGTATCCTGTCTTAATGAGGAAATAGATTTCGGACCTTTCATGTAAAATGCCTTGAACCTCTTGTTATTGTCTGAAAATGGTTGGTATCCTTTTATTGCAAATTTTTATTGAACACCATCATGATGGTTCCTAATATATTCTTATCTATATAGCATACTGGTAATGCCAGTGAGATGCCATCTATATAAAGAATCACAACACTCCGCTCTGGTTTACTTCTCTCTCCAACCACGCCCTGAGGAAGACCCTATGGTGGTCGAAACTGCTCTGTGTTTTAGCCTTGTGATCACAATACCTCTGTAACGCCTTGAGGGGACTTCTTCAAATTTGGTAAAAACATTCACTTGGGCTCAAGGATAAACTGATTAGATTTTGGTGGTCAAAGGTCAAAGGTCAAGGTCATGGTAACCTCGCAAAACGTGGTTTAGGCCTTGTGAACGCAATATCTCCATAATGCCTTAAAGGTGTAATGTGTAAAATCCTGCTACTTGCTCCACCTCCACAGGGGGCAGCATTTCACCTCTTTGCCCCCTGTCAGTTAATCATATTGCTGCTTTCCCCATGTTCCTTATAATGTATTATTTATATATGCATTTATTGTTGATAGTTAACATTGTTGATATGCAAGAGCCAAAAAGATAAATATACATAGATACACATATTAAAAAAATAAAACTATGCAAAAAACTATGTACAAAAGTGTTGACAAAACTCCTGCTGAGCAGGATGTGCAAAAGATCACATTATAGACAATATGTGTTCTGTGCACGGATAATACTCTGAGGTGTTACTGTAATGTGGTTGTTGATGGTTGATGAGGCCAGACGCAGAAGGAAAGGCAGGTGCTGGTCCAACACTGAGGAGGAATTCTGGTCCTGATACAGACAAACATGTGAGAGGACAATTAGATTAGATCGTACAAGTTCTTTATATTCAAACATGTTAGGTCTGTTGTGTGTGTATAATAAATAGTAAGGATAGATAGAATATACTAAAATAAATACAGTATTAGGCAGTGGATCCTGGACCCGCTGGTTCTGGATCAAACAGTCTCTTTGTTTTACTTGTAAAAAATAAAGTTACTGACGCATCTAGCTGGACAACAGCTGCAGGAACAGGCGAAATTCTACTAAATCACTTAAACGTCAACATTATACATTTATGCCACAGTGTTTGTCGGTACGGTTTGTCATTTGCACTAATGATACTTACATTAGATGTTACTCACCAGTCTAAAAGAAAAGTTGCACCTCGGCATCAAACCGCATCTCTTTACCTGGAGCTGTCTCCAGCGGAGGAAAAACACACCAGGATTTACTCGTGTTTTCTTATTTTCTTTGAAGTTGAACGTGGTTTCTTGTTGGAGCTGTTCTTCAGGATGGAGATAAAGATCGTTTTCTTCTTCACCCATCTCTGCGTTTCTGTGATGCTACTCCGAAGCTTTTTTTTTTTTTTTGTCGGGAGCTGTAGCGTATATTTCCAAGCTCTGGAGGAAGTTGTTCTTCTTCGTGGGACTGAGGGCAGACTAGACGCTTCACTGACTCACACAGAATTGCCTCATAAGACGTGATTTTGGCCATGTGAACACGATATCTCGAGAACTCTTCAAGGAAATACCTTCAACTTTGGGTTACTATATATATATATATTGTGTACAAAAGTTCACTTGGACTCAAGGATGAACTCATTAGATTTTGGCGGTCAACGGTCAACGGCATGGTTTTGGCCTTGAGAACACAAGTCAGTTAAACCGTTGTACGTCTTCTTAACGCCTTGAGGGAATTTTGACAAATTTGGTACAAATCTTCACTTGGACTGATGTATTTCCCTTTGTATAACAATGTAAAACAGTTTAATAAAGTGAGGTAAGAGGGTGATTATATGTTACCATTAAGGTAAGATAATTAACGGCTGCATCTATGGCACCTTAATTACAGATAAAATGCACAACCACAGAGCATGGTAAGTGAGCTAAATCACAAACACCCATCCACCTGGAATCCCCAGTATAGAACTGTAGCAAAGAAAAGCACTTGCACTGCATTCACCCACAAAGCCACGGCCATAGAAACACATGAGTGGAGCTCAGAAGAGGAGCAGAGGAAGAATTTGGAGAATAAAGTTGGAAAAGTAAAGAAATTGGTTTCTTTTTTGGATTGTTCTTGATTACTGTCAGAGCTAGTTTATGAGGATGGCCAGGCTACCACAGCAGTCCTACCTTCGTTACCGTCGGCTAAATCACTGACGATAATTCTGCTACTGCAGGAACCTGACCAATGTATCCCAAGTCAACTTGAGCTTACTGCTGAGGCACAGATCTTTGCGGTGAAAAAGTGAATAGAATAGCACCGAAAAGGACAGATGTGTGAGGCACAGGGTCAAAAGCAGAGTGCAGGGACAAGAGGAACCTAATCGCACACACTCGGTGCCATCATAATCCCTCTACGGTATTACTACCTACACCCAAAGACAAAGATGCGGGATTGGATTTGTTAAAGTGGGTAAAACAGCTCTGCCCTGGTCTTTCAGTGTACAATAGATAAACTCAGATCATCTAGCAGGATCGAGAAACCACTAATCCTCAGCTCAGCTCAGACAGAGAGGCTGGGATTCGGGCTGAAGCGCTATTGTTCCCTGAGATCCATTAAACTCCTTGTCAACTGGAGAGCGGCTCATGATCGCCGATAGAGCGGGAAGCATGTACTAGACTTGGCTGCAGTCCACATTTGTCTCTGGAATGCCGGCTTCGATCGGAATGATTTATGGAGAGTGAAGGGTGAGGTGTGAAAAAAGCAAGCGAGGCGATAAACAGATAAACAGCAAAAGGAGGACAGAGACAAACAGAGTTGGAGAATGTGTGCACAGGCTAAGCGAGCGTGGTGCTGAATCTGTAAGTAGATGGAAAGGTCATTGAATATATTGTGTGCTTAAGCGTATGTGCATTTGTTTTACTCCACAGTAGCTGTGCATAGGGATCACACATTTAAGGAAGAAAGTAGGAGTATGCACACATGACTGAGAGCAGAGGAGCTTCATTTGTCTACGCTCAGGTTTATAAGGTCAGTAAGTGGGCGACAGAGTGCATCTCCTACCATAGATCATTAGTCATCCTGCAGCCTTCAGACTGAGAACGCACTGATCTGACACCTATGACACAAAGACCTTTCATGAAGTTAAATTTCATTAGAATTAGTAAAGAAGTCCAGTGTGTCTAGCAGCTAGAAGTTTGTGGACGACCATGTCACTAAAGCAAGGGAAATACACACTTTGGCTGCACATAGTTTAACGTAAACAGCATGCAACAAAAGGACAAACGGGGAAAATCGAAGCTTTTCCTGATGTCATAATTATAATGCAATGACTCTAAAATTATAACATTGTGCAAAATAGCAACAAACCAGTTTTATGTCATCATAAGTGATGTTTACATGCTATATATTCTCATAGTGAGCTTGCTTCTTATAGTCAGTGTTAGAAATTCAAAATGTTAGGGGCACTTCGAAATTTCATGAAGCACACTGATATATAAAAGCCGCTAACCCTCACTGATGCACATATTATTCACAAAAAAGGTTTGCTTTAAATAAGCTCCTACAAAAAGGGCAGCAACGTGAGATGTTATGTAGCCTATATTGAGGGGAGACAGGATTCCTATGGAGATAAAAAATAAATCTAAAAAGAATTTCTAAAGATTTCAGAATAAGAGCAAGAAGCCAAAGCGAAACTTTAAAAGCAGTAACGCCACCTGCGCTCCACTAAAGACAGCAGGGCTCATGGAGCAGGAGCAGTCACGAACCGGGTAAGAGGAGCAGAGGAGCAGTTTTTACTTCATTAGGGAATACGTAAGATAACTGGATCTTCCCTTGTAACTTCACATCCAACCAGTAATGTGTCTAAAAATCATCTTAAAGTATCGGCTTTTGTAGTTTTACGGCAGACGGCTCATTTCCCCTTCGCGCCTCTTCGTTTCTTACCGTGCGGCTCCAGGGGCACCCGAGCCCGCGCCACACATCCACCCGGCCACACTCACCTAACTTTTGCTGCCACGGAAGATATCGCATCACTCCTCAGATTCTTCCTTTTGGACACTGCAGTTCCCATGCTGAAGTGGAAACGACCCAGGGGAAAAAACGCAGACCATTCCACAGACTGATCGGCGAGCGGAAACAAAACGAGAGAAAATCAACAAATGGGGTGAAATTAAAAAAAAAAAAAAAACATCCGTATCCAACAAGTCAGAGCTATAATTATTTCATATTTATCGTTATCATTTCGGATTAGAAAAGAAAAGAAACTGAATGTTCCAGAAAGCTGCTGGGTGGACAGCGCAGCAGCTCTGCTGGATGAGACGCGGAGTAGTGATGTGCTGCGCTCTCCTCTCCTCTCCTCTCCTCTGCTCTCCTCTCCTCTCTTCTCTTCTCCTCTCCGCTTCGAAGCCAACTGAGGCTTCCAGGAAGGAAACGGAGACCATAAAAGGAAGGGCAGCCCGCCTGGCCTGCACGGCCCTGGACAGGTGCGGGGTGGGCGACAGCAGGTGAACAGAGCCGAGTTGTTTCAGTGTTTTTTTTTTTCTTTTTTCTCCCCCCCCTCGGTATATATGCGGTACTCAGTGTGTCTTAAGTAATTCCAGTTTTCCAGTTTTCGTTGTTGCACGGCTTTCAGGCCACAAGAGCGCAGGGCGGCATGATGTGTATCCAGTTTGAGTAAAACAATATGCTCCATTATCATCCCGATATATCAAACTGCAGGCTACAAGCTAAATGATGTTGTTACAGTGTTATACTGTGTTTTCTCTCATCCTACTGTGATAATATTGTTGATGTTTCGTGTGTCTTTACAGCCTAAATAAGAAAACTCTACCTGCAGTGGCGGATTCAGAATGTGGCCAGTGGCTGCTGGAAAAACCCGGATGGGCCAGATGTTTTTAAAGCTCGGGCCAGTTGCACAAAACACCTTCTTTAAAATGTTCACTTAAGTATTTCAGGTTTTCCCTTTATGTTAGTCTTCCCATATGCAAATGTAAAATTTGTAGCCTACATGCATTGAATTTGTATCTATGACATATAAGTACATATAAAATAAAAGCACATATGTAAAAAATATATGAGAAACCTATTAGATATTGGAACAATTTCACATATTGACATATATGTACATACAAATATAGCCTCCATATGTTTATATATGTATGCTTATATTGTAGACATATGTAACATATATTCATCCTAAAAGCCTGTCAGTATATGTTGATATTATATAAATTTGGAGAATGTGACATGATTAAAATTAATGAGAAATTAAGAAGAAAAACATACATATGTACACAGAATCTTTATATGTATGTTGTTTTAGTAAACTTGCATATATAAATTAAATATACATCATTAATATACAGTAGCCTATATGGTTGCAACATGTTACACCATGTAAGAAAACATCATATAGATATTTTTAATATATGTTCATATACAAGTTTTACATGTATATATATATATATTACATCTTCATGTGTACATGTGATAATAATATAAGTGACATACATGGCAACATCACTCTTGCTATATGGACATATATGTCATATATTTCGTTTTTGCATGGGGTTGAACTTCGGGAATCACTTAAAGTCAGTTAAACCGTTGTATAAAAGACCTTAGCGACCAAAGTTCACCATGGTGAAGTTCCCATCAGAACAACAGGAGGATGAGATAGGTTATAGGTTTCATAAGCCAGAGTAACAAAACACGTGTTTGTGTGTGCAGAGCCTTTCATTTGCAAAATAATCAGTTTCTATAGCTGTCACATAAATGCAGTGGAGAAAAGAGTACAATATTTGCCTCTGAACTGTAGAGTTGAAGTATAAGGTAGCAAGCACCTAACAAATGTCTTTACTGTAAGTACAGTACTTAAGGGAATGTACCTAGTTACTATCCATCACTGTTCCAAGTTTATATTTTATTAATGTGCGTCATTATAAACGTCAGTGTGATTTTAAATGGTGTTCCTCTACCTTTGGAACATAAATTGAACATTCCAGGTTCATTTCACCTCCTTATATATCTCTATAGATATATCTATCTCATGGCCTCTGGTGGCATCACTAAGTACCTGAGAAGGTTCTGAGAAGCGTGCCAGTTGGCATGCAAGAAAGAAATCCTACGCAGTCGTTGAATTAACATGGTTTGAATTGACTGAAATGCCTGTGTTCCACAAAATGGCTATCCACAACCCAAGTCTAATTCAAGGGGAATACAATTAGAAACAGAAACAAACTTTTTATCATATAAACATCAGACAGTTACACAGGTTTAATATGCTAGTACTTACCCCATAAATTTGTTAATTCCATTTCACTTTTTTCTCTCTCTAATGACTGGGAAGGTGCAATGAGACTTTAAAATTGCTTATGATTCAGCCAACTGCATGGTTCATCCATATAAAGGAATAACAGATAGTCCACGTACAGTGCTGTATATTAGAGGTCCCATAGTGTATAAAGGTAGATGTCCATGTCTTCTTTGATTATAAAGCAGATCTAGGTTCTATATTGATACTGTGAAAGTATCAAAGTGCATGCCACACAGAAATGCACACAGCCTGTATTCAGACACTGAGCCTTAAAACGAGCCATCAGGACTTCTGTAACTTTGTGATGTCACAGCAAAGCAGTCACCACCCGTCCTCCACCCCTCACCATCCAACCGTGCAGGATTTGGTTTACCTAGGAGTGTTTACCTGAAATCTGTTATATTTTTATTCAGTCACTCAGAAACAAGTGAGCCAATCAGAAGAGAGGCTCAGAGCCTCCTCTCCTCTGATTGGCTCACCTACCTGTTGTTACTAGAGCTCCAGAGAGAAGCCTGAGAGAGGAGATGTAAAACTACATTGAGATGGTTTTTGGTTCTTAAAACCACAAATATATCTTCTTATGGATCAACACGTCAAATAAAACTCAGGAAAAGTGTAAAATATGGACCTTTAACAGTAAAAACAAAGAGGAACATTTGCCTTTCATTTCCAGTCTCACCAAGCTGTCTGAGAATCGACCTGAGAATCATGCAGAATATTTTTGGTTCTCCAGGGAAATGAAATCAATTCAAGATCAATATTCAGAAAAGGAAAACAAGAGAAAAAAGACTGTCCTTTAAGCCAGTACAACGAAACCCTGTTGTGATTATGGAACCATGAGTAATATCCATAGTGCAGGCCACATAATAAACACAGTGCTCTCCATGTTTCAGATTTCAGGAGCTAAAGCAACATCTGTCTTTTTCTCACTGCAGTAACAGGCAGACAGACAGCACAGTGACAGCCACTGTGCAGCCCCAGTCTCACACTTACCCTGACATAATCACCAGGACTGAGACTGTGAATCACCATCATTAATATGAAGAAAACCCATGATGTCACTGCTAATCAGGTGTATGGCCACAGCAGTGCGAAAACTTCCCTCTGCAAAGAGATTCTCCTGATTGAACATATCCTAATTCAGCACATAATGACGGGGTCAGCCATGTCAGTACAACACTGTGACTGGCACAGAGGTCTGAAACAGAAATCCAAATAAAGATACATACCCGGGCGAGAATGGTATCTGATAATCAGGATTACAACTGAAGAAGCGTACCTCAAAAAAATCAATTAGCAGTTTTAGGATCTCAAAGAATTCAGTCGCTATCTCCTGAAGACTTCTGCTGATTTTTAACAGCAGCATGCTATTGTGCCTGTATGATAAGAATAGAGCGGGGTGTGTGTGTGTGTGTGTGTGGGGGGGGGGGCGGGGGGGGGGCTCTGTCATCACAGCCATGGAAATAAGATCTGTCACACAGGATCAGACTACAGGGACTTTATACCTGCTTCATTATCACAGACATACAGGAGACGGGAGGGGATAGTGAGGAAGAATTCACTCAAAGGATTTACAGTACACACTGAACACGCTGTATTGTCACTGTATAGATTGCCAAAGTTTGACTTAATAGCCATAGTGCAGTTCATTCCCTTTATATCTTCAAATAGTTTCATAAGTATTGACATAAACTCAGTTACACATGTCCAGCGAGTCTTCCAAACTCACTTGTTGCCTTCCAAAAGGTACAATGAGCTTTTTCTGATCTGCTGCCCCTGTCATTGAGGTCTGGTTCAGTTTAGGCACAAAGACTGTGGGACGGGGAAACATTGTGGCTTAGGTTAAAAAAAAGTCACTTTGTTAAAATTCGGGAGCTTTGGTTAAGTTGAAACATTTTCAGGATTAACATTAGAGGGGGAGGTGGGCAACAAAATATTCCTTGTGGTCCCTAGTAGTTTAACTCCTGGTTCCTTCTCTGTAATTTTAAGTTTTCATATGTAATTAATACCAGGGAGAGGGTGAAGAATATACTCACATTTATACGTATGGAACCTGTCTGATCTCTGAGCTGTTGAGCCTCCAGGAACAGAGCGTAAACAATGATTGGTAAGGGGCCACACAACTGCAAGTACATTTTTTTGCGCCTCACAAACTGCACCGACTTTTTACTTTCAGATTTCATTTAATCCTTTCTGCACATTCAGTGGTGCCAGCAGCTGTAATCCTGTACGCACAGTAGGTACAATTTTTTTTAAAAATGATTTTGTTTGTTTTCTTAACATTCCATCTTGAAAATGAAACTGTGACAACAGGAGATCCTGTCTTCATTTTTGGCTGCATCCACTTCCCTTGAGAGCAGGTGATAAAGGAGGAGTTTGGTTCTTTGATGCTCAGTGTTGACACTGCAGATGTGGAGCACTGATGAACATCTGTCATGATATTGGAATTGATGTGGAGGCTGTTCTGGCCTTCAGATGCAGAATGAACTTCAAATAGACAGGAATACTATTTAATTTTATTGTCTCATGTGGTCTTTTGATTGTTTATCGTAATAGGTTGGTTTGGTCTTGATGTCACATATTGTTACTATCTTTAGTAGTTAGGCAACTGTTCTAATAATGATGATGTTATGTGAAGGAATCTGTTTTTTAATGTCGACTTTTCTCTGGGATATTCAATATAGTATATAATAGTTTATTGTAGTCAGTTATTTAGCTGCTGTTGTTTTTCAGGCCTGTTGGTTGGTCTTTGAAATGCATGTGGTGCTAATCAGAGTTTTATGGTGGGGTCGTGTCATAACTTTAGTG